ACTATCAATAACTTGTACAACAGAAGATGTATATTTCTCGTAGACTTCACATGGTGAGTCAGGAGGAATATAAACATTACCAAACAATAAACGTTTTTTATTAATTGAGGCGAACACTGGCAACCAACGAGAATAGGGGACTGCGTCCATTGCAAATGTCCACGGACATTACTGAGCCAAAGTATCGACGTACATGGTAAAGTTAGATGTAGTATAAAGTGAACCAGTATAAAGTGAACACCCCCTACCTTTTTGCTAAAAAAATTTTTTTTTCAAAAAATCAAGATAGCCATTTGATATATTTTGTTTCTAGGTGTTTGAGAACGTTTTTCAAAATTTAATTAGATTTTTCTTTAAAGGGCTGTGACCAAAAAAGTAATTTTTTTAAATGGAATAACCTATATTTATATCAATTTTTTAAACGTCCCTATTTTTCTCATTTTAAATATTTAGTTTGTTTATCTTTATTTTAAACATTTACGATATATTCTCACTTCAAAATTCGAATAAAAATAGCCGAAAAAGGTATCAAGGTAAATCTAAATAATTTTTCCTTTAATAAAGCTGCTGGTGATTAAGTTTCATGATACCTTTTCGGCTATTTTTATGTGAATTTTGAAGTGAGAATATATCGCAAATTTTTAGAATAAAGATAAACCAACTATATATTTGAAATGAGAAAAATAGGGACGTTTAAAAAATTGACTTAAATATAGGTTATTCCATTTAAAAAAATTACTTTTTTGGTCACAGCGCTTTAGCGAAAAATCTAATTAAATTGCGAAAAACGTTCTCAAACACCTAGAAACAAAATACACCAAATGGCTATCTTGATTTTTTCAAAAAAAAAAAATTTCTGCGAAAAGGTAGGGGGTGTTCACTTTATACTGGATCACCCTGTACAAATACTCAATACAAGTTGCACTAGAAGAGATTCCAGTTTGATAACTGTATTCCAATATTGGAACTCAGGACATTCAGATGTTTTCGACAAAATCCACAGTATATACAATGGCTTCTCCACTGATGCTGGAATTTGCTTCGCATACTTTGTTGAATGCGTTTACCTGTAGACAATGCAAGGCAGGATTCCGCAACACCAAAACTTGCAATACCAGCGGTTGTTACTAATTCAGTCCATCCACTGCCAGTTAAACCACTTGCCAAGTAATTTAATGACCATCATTTCTGTGTGAATGCCACCCATCGCGATCCTCGCCATACTTGTCAGTTGTCAGAAAATTTCCATTGCAGTTGCTTCCACAATAGCATATGGGTCACATGTAATCGCTGGAGCTTGATTTCAATTTAATTTTGCTGTAACCATTATTATGATATCCATCATATGCCGTACCATTGCTGGTGTCGCAATTTCCTCATTTAGAAGTGGAAGCAATGACGCATTACACTTTATATTTTTAAAACAGGTTCATTTTTTGCATGAAAAGCAGCGAACGATACTTTATGCATATGCTCTACACAATATACAGGGTGGTCCAACGAAAACTTATCAAAACCTCGAATTTCCGTCTTTAAAATGAAAATGTGGAAAATTGCTCGGACCCGTCGATTTATTCGAAGGTCTGATTCGAGGGGGAACACCTTTTTTCATCCCCGTAACCTCAACCCTCTAACGGAAGTGAGCACAACCCCTTGATTTTGAATAGGGATGAGGGGTGGTACGATACCTCATTTTGAAGATCTTATCGAGTACTATTTGTCTGACCCTGAAATTTCGCTTCAAAATGTTCATCGAACGAAATGAAATGACAGCTAAAATAGTGGAAGAGTACTTACTTTTGTGATTTATTAAATGCTGTAAATGGGCACCATTCACTTCCATGCAGTAAAATAAGTTTTGCTGAAAACGTTCACGTACATTGTTCAACATTTGTGGTGTAATTTGACGGCATTCATTAATGATCCGATTTCGCAAATCATCGAGTGACTCAGGCTGGGTAGCGTAAATCCTAGATTTCATAGAAAAAAGTCCAGTGGAGCCAGATCAGGTGATCTGGGTGGCCACTCAATATATCCCCTTTTTCCAATCCAGGCGTCAGGAAAAATTTTATCTAAGAACTGACACACAGGTTGAACGAAATGAGGTGGTGCGCCATCTTGTTGAAAAATGATCGTTTGATGGTCTTATTCATTCTCCAATACTTGCACGAGGGCTGGATAAATAGCGTTCTCTAATAGGTCGAAATAAATTTTGCCAGTGAGATTACCGGAACTAAAAAAAGGGCCGATTATGTGATTTCCATAAATACTCGCCCAAAAATTTAATTTTTGGGGATGCTGAGTATGCACTCGAGGTAAATTCCACATTTCCTCTTTCACTATTTTAGCTGTTATTTCATTATCGATGGAAATTTTGAAGCGAAATTTTAGGGTCAGATAGTACTCGATAAGATCTTCAAAATGAGGTATCGCAACACTCCTCATCCCTATTCAAAATCAAGAGGTTGTGCTCACCTCCGTCAGGGGATTGAAGTTACGGGGATGAAACAAGCGGAAAAGTTCTTCCCCCTTGAATCAGAAATCGATGGGTCCGAGCAATTTTCCACATTTTCATTTTAAAGCCGAAAAATCGAGGTGTTAAGTTTTCGTTGGACCACCCTGTAATCGTAACTGTTGCTGATATTTCTTGCACTGGATTATATGGAACACTCAAACCCAGACGACACAATTTATCTATAATCTTTTTCTTTTTAGTGATAGCGTGAATCATAAGGCCTACATATAGTGCGAGTGGTGTTTCTCTCTCCAAAAAGTGACGTACACTCTGAACATTGTCGTCTTTTTTGGCATGCTCAATGTTGTTATATCTAATAAGTTTGGCAATTGACAATCCTGCATTATTTGTCTGCAGGTATTTCTGGTGCGACACCAGAGTCAATATTGGGACCCTCTAATAACATACATACAAAATGAATAAGAACGGCAGTTACAGACCGGGAAGCAGTAAATGCATTGTCTTGAAACAGTTGTCTTCGTAATATTCCTACTTCCCGTCCCAGACACATACCATCATTGAAGTCAATAAAGGCACAGGCATTTCGAATGGCATCGCCAAAATCCCCTTCGAAACTTAAAATAATTTCACGCCCAGACCAGATACAAATGCTAATAGTTGTTCCTGGAGACGTGTTCTATTAATATTCTTTTTGTCATACGCTCCCAAAAACAGCTATTTTACGGACTTATTCAAGTCCGTAAAATGCTTCTTTTTAGGACTTTTTTTCTCTGTCTGGATGCACCTTCATGATTTCAAAAATTAAGGAAATTTTGCAAATTTTAGCGTTCTGAAGAATTCTAAAAAGCGTATGACAAAAAATAGTGTTTGTCACACGTACTTAACTCATCTGCTATTCCGGACTCGGCTAACGCCTCGTCCAGAAACAGCAAAACTTCATTTTAGGTACTTGTGACAAAAATAACTATTTCGTCAGATTGAATTCCCATGTCAGTCATGCGCTCAGACACTTATTTTGTAAAATAAGAAAGCTCATACACTGGAGAAGTACTGCTAGATGAGTATAAATCCTGCATGTATTGAACTAATTCTGTTATAATTGCACCATAAGCAACTTTTTCAGGATTATAGTATTATTTTTTTGAGAACGTTCAGCAGCTCGTGAACGTATTAGGAAGCGAGTATAGCATAGTTTGTGGTATTTGGCTTCTAATGCTACAAAATCTGTTGATGATAACTTCTTCAACACTTTTTCATCTTGTAATTGTACAGCATGACTATGAATTTTAGGCGCGATACCCAGCGTGGATGCAGTCACAAGTTGTTCACATCTGAGCAAAATAATGATGATTTTACAAATTTTGATGGAGTTTGGCCTGAGCAAGATGGACGCTTTTTCGGTTTCTTTCCACAAGATACTCTTTCCGCCTTTTGACTGTCATATTTGTTCTTGCAAGATTTGTGATATTTTGCTGCATGGGTATTACTAGTAATTGTGGAAGACCACGCCCATCGTTCATCTGGTCCAAATTTCTTATACCACTTGAAAAGCTGATCATGTTCAGCAAAAATTGCAAGATTCTTTGCCATGGTTAAATAACCTTCATGCTTCGGGATAGTCAAACGCTCTTTTGAATGCTTCTGGTATAAAAAACACAGGTCTCATAAAAATGGAACCACCACTAGGTCAGTCGTAGCATCAACAAATTCATGTTTTCTCTTTTTTGACATGATTGGGTAATTTCTTTGAAAAGTCACTCTTTTACTTTCCGGAGCCCGTACAAATTACATGTATGCCATAACAACTTGCTATGCAATACTACATTGTTTTGACAAATTTTCAGTAACTTTTGTTTAGAAAATGGGAGTTACATATACCATTCAAAAGTTTGTGTCAGTCACAAAAAAGTATACGATAGATTTTCAGCCAAATATAACGGATTTCAAGTTATTTAGCATAATGTCAATGAAAATAAAAATCAACAATTTTAATAAAGTTGCAAATATTTCTGGTATTATGATTATGTGTGCGTATATGATATACCGTTGGAAAGCGCGTCTCCTCCTGATTAATAATCACTAATAATATAAGTTGAATACAAATTCGAGTTATATAGGAAAATGTACAATTATGTTTCAGAAAAATTGGGGGACCATAATGATTACTTCATCCACGTCGCTATAGAGCAAAAAAAATTTGTGTCCCGGGCTTTTTGTACTCATCTATCCATATACTAACTATCTGAACCCAAAGGGTCGCATCGGTTGCCAGATCTTACCTATCTCACCCCACTATATTGGTCTTGTTTTTTGGACTTTTTTTTGCATGTCCCAAATATTTTTTCTCTAATACTTGTTTCTAAATGTATTGAATTCATTTGACGAGCCATCGTCTTTCTCAATAAATTAATTTAAAGAGTATCCAATCTCATGGTAATTCACCAGAAAAACATTGAAATCGACGGAGTTTTCTATTGTCTATTTCCCAAAAGGCGAAGAAATTATCTACGTTTTTGTTTTTCAGGCACAATTATGGCAACATTAACCAGAAAACGTCCAAGCTCAGAAATGATACCAAAATACGAAATGGTCACTTACTATAAGGGCAACACAATACCAAATTCGCACATGCATTTATATGACCCGGATAATGTTAATGTTGCTTGCACAATATTTAGGGTAAGCTGTTTGAAAATTATTTGTTTATTTGTTAATCAAATTATTTATATTTATAGGATTTATGTAAATACATAAGGGCTGAACTCAACTCTGACAGAGAATTGTCTGTAATTCAATCGATAATTGGATTTGCTTTAGAAAGAGAAGAACTGCGAGATGAGGTCTTTGTACAATGTATTCGACAGGTGCGCGTTTTCCAATTTTATATTTTTGTATCACTAAAATGAAATTATTCTTCCAGGCTACAAACAATCCAAATTCTGAAGCAACCGAAAAAGTGTGGCTATTGCTTTGCTTGTGTATAGTCTCATTTCAACCCTCTAAATTATTGTATAGATACTTCTTGTCTTTTTTGAAGAAAAATATTTCGCAGGAAGGTAAAGTTGCTCAATACGTCCAATGGTGCTTGGATAATTGCAATAACACTAAAGTGACTGTAAGGGAACATCCGCCATCTTCTGTTGAAGTGGCAGTAAGTAATTTTAATTTTTTTAATATTTTCACATGCTAATTAAAAGTAGACTTAAGAACTGAACAACAAATTTCCTTTGAAATAAAGGTCCAGTTGTGACTCATAAAAAATAAATTTTAACTTTCTCGTATTTCTTGATTACCTATAGATTGAACTGGACATTCAGTTCTGATTTGATTTTAAGCTACTTTAATCTGATCTGACAGCTCCTAAGTTCCTCTATCTTTCTTGTTACAGGCTATGAAAAGACTAGGCACAATAGTATGTCGTTTCTTTTTCCTCGACGGTCGTACCAAAGCAATAGACGTCCATCCAACGGACACAGCTCAAGATGCGGCCAAAAAATTAGCCGAACGTCTAGGCTTGAGACACTTGGAAGGTTGGGCCATATATCAAAGCAGGCCTGACGGTGAAGAACATGTCCGAGCGCATCATTATTTATATGATATTATTGCACAATGGGAACAGTAAGGATTTTGGTTTTATGTATTAGATATTTCTAAATTAACTATATTGCTTTTAGAAATCAAAATAAACTAACTCCCCCTAGTGGGCTGGCAACTTTAGGAAGAAGAAGCGCCCAAGGTCTCAGTGGAGGTGAAAATAGGTTTATATTTAAAAGGAGACTTTTCAAGGCTACTCGGGTACTCAGCCAAGATCCTGTTGAAGTTAATTTGTTATATGCTCAAGCGGTTCATAGTGTAGTTAAGGTGAGAATGGAATATTCTGATTTGCAAGTGCTAATAATTTTTTTTTAGAGAGATGATTTCCCAGTAACAGAAAAAGTAGCCTTGCAATTGGCAGGCCTACAAGCACAAGTTGCATTGGGAAATCCAAAAGACAACAATAAATTGGAATATTACACTGACTTGGATACTTATTTACCCTATCGCATATCAAAGACTCGTGGGGATGATGTTTGGGTAAGCAAAGCTGCAAAACATTTCATATTCTTGGATTCATTATTGCTCTCTTCAGGTCCCTATTATTGCTCAAGCTCACCGTCAATATGGAGCAAACCGTTTGGAATTGACTGCAAAAGCTCTTTATCTCACTTGTGTCATGCAATATCCTTTATATGGTACCACAATGTTTCCTGTAACATACAGAGGTTATTGGTCTTATGGCAATGCCTTAACTTTAGGCGTGAATTGCGACGGACTAATGTTAATTAAAAACGATGATAAGTTCGTCTTGAACGAATTCAGATATCAGGATATTGAAAGTATATTATTGGATCCAAGTGATAGTTTCATAACTATAACGCTTCAAAGATCTGTAGGAGAAAATAATCATAAGTGCTATGTTTTTGAGACTAAACAGAAAAATGAAATTGGATCGTTAATTGCTAGTTATTATCCTGCTCTGGCTGGTTGGATGACTGAAAGTGAAACGCCTCAGAAGAGAATTAAGAGTAAGTGTTTTTATTAGATAGTATGTCGTCAAACCTATAAATATGAAATTTATTTCAAGGTATAACCAACGAAGATCGTGTCAGGCTTTACCACAATTTAGTCAACTGTAGACGAGCGCTGGTTGATCATGATATTTTACGTAAACCCACAGATTCTTCTGGAAGTTTTCTGAGAAATACTTTACGAAGGCTCAGCAAACATAAATTAGACAAATTAAGACAGGAGCATGGAGGTGATACAAGCGAAACGTACAAAGGCTTCCACCACGCTTTCTGGGCCTTCAGTAAACAACCTCTCCTACAAAGTGTCAGCAAAATACCTGAAGCAGAAGAACAAATAATGTTGCAAGTTTTCCAAATAATTTTAACTTATGCCGGACTTGGGCAAAATGGTGAAGTAATTCGAAGAGTTGAAGACGAGCATGTTTCTCTTCTTCAAACCATTTTGGAAAGGTGCATGCGTAAAGAATCGTTACTATGCGAATTGTATTTGCAGCTGATTAAACAAACTACAGATCATCCTGATCCAAATTCGAGGGTTAATCTACGACATTGGGCGTTGTTGTCCTTGTCCTGTTCCGTTGTATTACCGCCGAATAAAATTATTCGGAGGTATTTGATTGCACATCTGAAAAGGTCAGTTGAAGATATTTGCCACCATCTTTACGTATTTATAGAATCAACGCCAAAGCTCCCATGATTTACCTCACTGAGCTTATGTGGCTGGTCCTGAGTTTTAGGGAAGCAAACAGGCACTTGCCTACTTTTGATTTCTTCAATTTCTCTTCCAATACATTTTAAACCAGATGTTAAAAGTCACTTAATGGAAATGAATGTATATGTTGTGAATGAAATGAAAAATTAATATTATTAAATTTCCAATCAGCTTGAACAACTGTTGGTTTTCAGATGCGGTTCTGATTATGTAACAGAAGAAGGAAAATACGCCCGATTTGCAGAGAAATGCCTCCTCAAAACTCAGAGCACGAGACGGCGCCAATGGCCTCCTTCGCGTGAAGAAATCCTTTGCACCATAAACAGAAGACCAGTATATGCAAGATTCCATTTTATGGACGGCCAGTACCATAGTGTCGAATTTAATCCATCGGCCACGGCTAAGGATGTACTGGAAGTTGTCAGGGATAAAATTGGACTCAGTCCGGAAGCTAAAGGTGAGCAAAGTGTGTAGGTTCGTATACAAATTATAATCATTATTTGTTCTTCAGGTTATGCAATATATGAAGTGCTAGGCAATTCGGAACGTAGTTTATCGTCTGAAGAAAAAGTCGCGGACGTAATGGCAAAATGGGAACGATATAGAGCAGCTAGTACATCAAATCAAACTAACAATACTGGAACTGCGAAAAAAGTGCGACCTCAACATCATTTCTTCTTGTTCAAAAAACATCTGTTTATGGATAATTACATAAATTTGAACGATCCAGTGGAGAAAGAATTGCTCTACCATCAAGTTCTACATGATTTGAGAACTGATAGATTTCCTATAACGGAAAAAGAAGCTGTAAGAATATATTTTAAATTTTATCAATTTTCGTGCATAGTTTCATTTATTGAAAATAATAAAATCTCTTGTTATAGATGATGCTAACAGCTCTCCAAGCTCAACTAGAATTAGGCGATATTGACGAAACGATTCATGACTATCGGCCCATTGCCTGTCATTGTTTACCAGCTAGGATGGTACCAACGGTACCACAAGAGGGCGTTCAGATGCATCATCAAAGCTTACGAGGAATGACTGCTTCTGAAGCAAAACAGGCATTTTTAAATTTGATACAGAGCTGGCCATTACATAAGGCGACTATTTTTGATGTCATGGTAAGTAACAGAAATATTTTAATAATTGATTTTTTGATGATCAAATTCACATTTTTCTCTAGCAATCTTTTACTTCAAATTGGCCTAGAGTTCTCTGGCTAGCCGTCGATCAAAAGGGGCTTCATCTACTGGAACACCGATCAAGAAATACGCTTTGCACTTACGACTACAATAGCATATTGTCATATTCTCCTGCACTGCAATGTTTGATGATTATAACTGGTAGTGATCATAAGCAGAGCAAAGTGATTTTGACCACTGCCCAAGCGTTTCAGATTGCCACTCTGATTAGAGAATATATGGAAGTTTTACATGAGAATATGGTAAGTGAATATGTTTTGACATAGTGGATCAGTTTTTTATTTTATAGTAACCAATACATTTATTTCCAAATTATCATATAGCTACATTTAGAAAGATATTTTTGTTTAAATTTGCGTTTAAATCCAGAAAATGGTGTGTAAATTGGTTCTAAATGTGTTTCCTTGCGGCTTTTTGTTTTGAAATATCAAGATAAACTGTCTTAAACGGATACGTAAGACTGCATTTCAACGAAATTTCCCGCAAGTTTTTACTTCCTTTCCATTAAAATATCTCCCTGTTAAAGTTTGCGTTCAACAATAAAATAACATAAATTGAAGCCAATAGTCTAACAGATCCATTTGAGATGTATTTTTGTTCCAAATGTGTTTCCTTGTGGCATTTTTTATAGAAAGAGCGACAGAAAATGTTCTGAATGGAGTGAAATTTCTTCCAAATGTCCATTTAAAGTCAGAAAACTGGCTTTTCATATTGAGTTATTAACAAACAACAAAAACCGTCCTAAATAAATGTGAGATTGCATTTTTCTGCCATTCTGCATCAAAATCTATCCAATGTAGTGTCAAATATGGTTTGCGATTTGGACTAGTTTATGGATCTATTTCTAATTCTGTGTCCCCAGTGAGTTTTAGAGATGATAGTTTTCTGCAGTAGAATTTTTGGAAATGAACAAGCGGATGGATTTTGGCATCCATACCAAATATTTTAGGACACCTATGAATTTGGTAACTTTAATACAGGGACTTTTCATATTATTTTTACGTTACTGGAATCAGCAGTTTTAACGAATAAATTATCATAAAGCGATCTTTTACAACAAGCTGTCAAATTCAAAGCCACTGAAATTTTAAATTTTTGCAACTAGCAATTCCAACTTCTGAATCAATATCCTGAGCAGGTCAACCAGATTCAGCCATGCCATTTCTATTCATAATTAATTAATTTCCTTATCTTAATAGTGAGAGAATTAAAACTACCAATTATATTTGTATCTCACTGTAGAGCAAACTTAGGTCACTGATTTTTAAATTTTGGAGAACTAGTAATTAGTATACAGGGTGTTCCTGAATAGTGAGATCCTGAGGTGGGATCAACCTTAGGATAAATAGTACTCATTAATATAAGAAAAGAGTTAAGGGAAACACTGGTCCGAAAATGCTTAGTTTTTGAGATACTGTAGTAATAGTCAATCGTTAGTTTCAGTTGACAGTTATTATGAAAATATAAAAACTATTAAGTAGCGAGTTTGCTTTATTTAGAAAATATCTATAATAATACATGGTGCAGTCGTCGAAGAACATCAAATAACGGGAATCTTTCGGTTACAGAGAATAAGTACCTATCAGTTTTGCAGTTTAGTGACGAGAACAAAATGGAAGGAAGATTACCAGAGCCAATGAAGGTAGAAGGAAATCTTGACAAGAATTTTGATAAGTTTTACCAAAGTTTTGAGACATATTTAATTGCCACAGAGAAAGACACAAAACCAGATAAGGTTAAGATTGCTTTTTTCTTAAATTTGATAGGCCCTGAGGGGGTTGAGATCTATAATATATTGAAAATTACTGAAATGGACAAATATGACATTGTGATTGCAGAATTTTAGGAAATACTTTGCTCCTAGGAGAAACAAAACGTATGACAGATTTGTTTTTAATAACCGAAGCCAGGGGCCAGAAGAGCCGTTTGATCACTTCTTTAGTGAACTGAAAAAATGTATTCAAACTTGTGAATATGATACTTAGGACAGTATTTTAATAGATAAAATATTACTAGGGGTAAATGATTCAATTATTCAGGAAAAACTTTCAAGTATTCAGGGTTTAATAATAGATCAAGCTGTGGCAATGTGCAGAAATACTGAGCTTACAAAAAATCAGCTAAAATCAGTGCAAAATATGGACGCTGGTGTTTTTGGAGTAGATGCAGTGAAATCAAAGAAACAAGATGAAAAATCAAAAAAATTCTCATGCAAAAAATGCAATCGAACACATAAATTTGCAGAATGTCCAGCATTTGGAAAAACATTTTATAAGTGTGGAAAAAAGAATAATTTTAGTAATGTATGTCTAACAAAGGGCGTTGTAAATCGGCAACAAAAATCCCCGAAAAAAGTAAAAGAGGTGATCAGGAAAAATGACAGTTCGGATTCAGAGGGTGAAGACTTATTCGTGCATTCTTTGAAAAAAGTTGTTTGGGTTAAAAATAAAAATAATTCAGTATGGATTGAAAATAGATACTGGTTCCGACGTGAATATTTTACCAAGAAAAATACTGAAGACAATAACTGTCATGTGTTGGTGAAGTGGAGTACAATTCTGGAAGCCTATGGTGGAGCAAAGTTCAAACCAGTTGCAAAAATTAACTTGCAGTGTTTAAGGTTTGGTAAAGTATTTGAGTTAGAATTTTTGATTGTGGATTTGAATGTTAAACCAAAATTAGGTTTACCATCTTGTTATAGATTGCAAATAATTAAACACACTAGAAGTGTGCGTGAGGTTGGTCAGAATATTGATTTGAATTCAAATATAAATAAGAAATTAATTGGTAAATATAGTGATATTTTTAAGGGCATATAGGCACTTTTTCAGTTACTTGTTAGATTGAACTAAAACAGTATACCAGTGGCTAGACCTGCTCGTCGGGTGCCTTTAGCTATTAAAGATAGATTAAAGCAGAAATTAGATAAATTAGAGCAGCAAGTTATGAAGAAATTAGATAATGTTGATGAGTGGGTTAATAACCTAGTTATAATTGAAGAACCAGATAAATACTTAAGATTATGTTTGGATCCACAGGATTTAAACAAGGGTATAAAAAGACAATACTTTGAAATTCCAAGCTTGGAAGATATTAGTGCTAAGTTGTCAGGAAAAAAATGTTTCTCTGTACTTAATTTTAAAGATGGGATTTATCAAGTGAAGCTTGATAAGGAGTCTAGTTCTTCAACATTATTTTCTACTCCATTTTGTTGTTACAAATTTTTGAGACTACCGTTTGGTTCAAATTTGGCATCTGAATATTTTCAGAGAATAAATTGTAAAAATTTTGGGGGATATTGAAAATGTAATCATATATTTTGATGATTTATTGGTAGCTTGTAACACTATGGAGGGACATGATAAGACATTGACAATGGTGTTACAGAGAGCAAGAAAGAAGGGTGTGAGATTTAACAAAAATAAGTTGCAATTGAGAAAGTGTGAAGTGAAATACATGGGGCATATTTTTAATAGTGAGGGTATGAAAGTGGATACTGATAAAATTGAGGCCATTAATGGATCTTTATTGAAAAAGAACTGCTGGGAATTGTGTATGCTTGTCAAAAATTTCAATAATTTTATTTATAGCCGCCCTATTTAAATTATTACTGATCACAAACTAAATGTAAGTGTTATGAACAAGCAGATATCCTCAATAAACTCGCCTCGACTACAGAGGGTGAAATTGTAAAGATATGATTTACAAGTTTGTTATCAATCAGCCTGGGCGATATTTATCTATTGCAGATTATTTATCCAGAAATGTAAGTACTCAAATGGCGGAAAATGATGAGGATATGAAAGAAATGATACATTCCTTTGAAAAATATTTGCGAATGAGTGAAAGAAGAAAAAAACAGTTTAGAAAAGAAACCATAAAGGATAAAAGTATTGAGTGAAGTTATTGAAAGTTGTTTCAATGGTTTTCCTCAATTATTGCGTAAAAATATGCTAAAAGTACTACATGAAGGTCATTTTGGCATAACTCGTACAAGAGATAGGGCACGGAGTGTATTATTCTGGCCTGGAACGAGCATAGATATTTATAAGGAAATTCGGCAGTGTCAGTTGTGTGAAAGATATAGATATGCTAATGTAAAAGAACCACTTATATCACATGATATTCCTGACTTACTTTTCCAAAAGTTACTTTGTGACATCATGGACTATGGAGGAAAATCATATTTAGTAATTGTAGATTATTTAACTAAGTGGTTAGAATAGTATATTGTTGCATACGGAGTAGAAGCACTTTTTTGTGCTTCAGCAGTATTGCAAGCCTCACTACGTTCGGCTCGCAAACCTACTGCTTCAGCACAAAAAAGTAAAGCTTCTACTCCTAATACAACAATATACTATTTTAGAAGGAAAACAGTATTGCCATGTTATTAGTGTTTTGAAACAAATATTTGCGACACATGGAATACCTGATGTTATAATGTCAGATAATATGCCTTCTGATTCGTATGAATGTAAATGTTTTGCGAATGAGTTTGCCTTTAAATTTCAGACAAGTAGCACTAGGTATCCGCGATCGAATGGACTTGCTGAAAGATTTGTGCAAACAGCTAAAAACATTATTCGGAAGTCAGATGAGATGCTTTGATGGAGTATCGTAACACGCCTATTACAAATCATAAAAGGTCTCCTGCTGAACTCTTGGTTTCTATGAAATCAAAAACTAAGTTACCTTTGCTCGAAAAACCCAATTTTAAAATTAAAGAATTCAGGCATGAATTAGAAAATAGAAATAAATTATGTAAAAAGTATTATGATAAACATAAACATTCTAAAGAAACGCCAGACTTTAAAGAACGTGAAAATGTTGTGTATAGGGATGTAAATCAGTGGCGTCCTGCAACTATACTATCTAAGCATGCAGCCCCAAGGTCTTACTTTATTAATAATGGTTCTAATCTTTTAAGGCGAAATACTAATCTTTCACGCAGCTCAGAAATTCAAAATGATTTATCAAGTAGACAAAGTAATCGCGGTGATTCTGGTCTAAAGCAGAAGACACTGAACATGAATCTTTCAATTTTGGAACTGATAATGATGGTATTGTTGCTGTCATTGAGAATACTAGGGCAAAGAACTTTAACAGTGGCTCACCAGGTGAGAATCAGAGATATACAAGGTTCAATCGTAGTATCAAGAAACCCTCTAGATTTGCTGATTACGTTATGTATTGATATTGATATCCGCATTGTTAGTGTTTAGCGTTAATGTATTTCCATAAA